TTCTGAAGAGAATGCTGACCAGCGAAGAGGGGGAAGGTATGGGCCCAGATCAGGAACCTCAGTGGAAAACCTGGATGCTTTCTTTTAAGGGGGAGAAACTTTGGGTCAAGTTACCTGGAATTCAAAGCTTCGTCTTTCTTTTCCTTTCAGAAAAAAAGGCAATTTTATCTTTAATCTCTGATTCACATATGCAAAAGCTGAACTCACAGTAGTAGTACTGAGCATTTTGTTTGATTTTTATTTGATGTTTGGTTCTAGTGGTTAAAAAACACTCAATGTAGGACACCTATGTATAGGCAGGGAGGTGAAAAGATGAGAAACAGTCCAAAAGAGAGACTCAAGTGGCTTTTTGATGAGAAGGTTGGAGAAGGAAACTTAAAGGGAAATGGCTGAGAGGAAAAAAAAGTGTGAAGAAAAAGGGCAAAGTACCTCGGTGCCAAGAACGATAAAAAAATTCCACACCTCTTAGCATGCTTCCCTCTTTCCCATTACCTTCTCTGAGAAGCAGAGTTGGAGGTAAGGAAATAATAGACTGAAAAGGGACAGCTTGTAAAGTTGAGATAAAAGCTGGCAAAGAAGGAGCGAATGGGGAGCGAAAAAACGCGAAGGGGGAAGTGAGAGAGTTTCCCAGCGGCAGAGCGCTGGCCTGAGTGGCAAAGTGGCATTCACAGACTGCCGCCATGACAGAATGACTGACAGACTGATAGAGGCTGTGCCACTTCATCACATAGTGAACTCTGACCCTCAATCGGTCACACCAGTTACTATTCTCTTTCTGTCGTCCGCTGTGAAGACCATTCCCCAATTTGTATGGGGCGCATAACAAAACAGCCACATCGACTGGTTAAATAGCAAGAAAATCTTTTAAGGGTCTGAAACATACCAGAAATAACTGCACACATTAAAGCACGTGGTGGTATGAGACATTCATGGACTGGTATGAGAATCTAAACCAAAAATACCAAGGCGAATTAGGGTCAGTTTTATCCTGTGGAGATCATAATCTATGTCTGACATCAAAAATGCTGAAATTGGAAATATTTGTTAAAGATTTTTAAAAAAATTTATCATCATTTTGTTGCTTTAACCTCACAAATTCCCATCTTTCTCCACTGGCATTCTGAACAAGAATGATGAATTGGGGAAAAAAAAGTAAAAGTTTTACATAAAAATTGCGAAAGTGACCACAAAACTCTGTTGAATGCATCTCAAACTGAACTGAAGCCACACATCCTAAACCTTCTGTACAGTATATCTAACAGCCCTGTGGCTGTCAGAAGGGGAATACTTAATAGAACAGTGGAACTATCTCTATATCTAAGTAAATTAAGAGATATTCAAATTCAGAATAAAGGCAGATTAACCTACAAATGTAGCTGACTGAAAAAGTAAATCATTGCACAAGTGAGTGAAGAAACAGTTAAAAAAGTTAAAGAGCCAAGCTGAGAGGAGAACCCTGCCAAAAAGTAGGAGTAGGAAGTAGGAGAGAGAGAGAAGCAGACAGGTACAAAGCAGAAAAGGAGAGGAGGGAGAGTGAAGTTGGTGGTCTTCAGTTTCTCTACCAAATCGGAAAAAAAACGAGGGGAAAATGTAAAAGGAAGCTGTGAAAAGGTAAATTATGGCCTTAGATTTGGATTTTTAGGGCTCACAGGGCTCCTGGGAGGATGTTAACCTTCATACCCAAGTAGCACATGTGTGCATAGCCGGGTTAATGTGTATGAGAGAGCGTGAGTCACAGTGTGAGTAAGCTTCTGCCCAAAGACACTCCCTTTTGCAAAAAAACATGCCGAACCACGCAGAACCTGTGCTCCACTTTCCGGGAATCAGAGCTTTTTAAGATTATGCTAATCTGGAACAAAAGCTGGGAAGAGCTGCTAAAGTGTTGAAATGCAAACTGATTTTTAGCCACTCTGAATCAAAGTCATCCTTTAAGGTTCATGCAAGCTTGACCTTGGAAGTCAGGAGGCCCCAAGGCACCATCACAACTAGGGAAAACAGTACATATGCATGAGTGTGAGCTGCTGAACAAACAAGCTGTGAAACAGGAAATGAGCTTGAGCCGTATTGAGCACAGTGATCAATCTAAGAACGGTTTGATTAACGATAGCTTTTCTACAGGGTTAAAAACCTTGGAGCAGAAAGAAGAACGCAAGGGAGAAATGATGGACGTCAACACACTTGATCAAGTGGCTGCTCATGAGGGAGGCAGCTAGATTGAATAAAAAAACGTTCAGAAAGAAAACAGTTCAAAAGCTCTGCTTGGGATTAACAGCAGCCAAAGAGAAAGGGTGAAATTTAGCTCAGTCATTTGGATAAAATCAGTGCAAACAAGACGGATTACTAGTTTGTACGCAAGCACCGCAACTGTTGTTGCACAGCAGGAGCAGACAAACATAAAAAAAATCCCCTCTCCATCTGGCACTTTGACTTTCTTCTAAATTTTCGGAGAATAGCTTTGCTGTTGTAATTACGAACTTTCTGTGAACATTAAATCAAGCAGTTTTATCCCTCATGGGGAGAAAGTTGTGTGTGGGAGAACATTTGGTGTTTGCAGAGAAAGAGAGAAAGCTTGATTGATTTAGACGGCGTCAGTTGACGTGATTGAGTGGTTGTCTGCCAGGACTCTCTGTTTGTGCTTGCCCGCCCATGTGTGTCACTGTGTGAGCATCTGTGTGCAGAACTTTGCTTTTGATTTCATGAACCTGACCTTCTGTGGACCGTTTCACCCCAAACATCATCAACTATATTTCTAATTGACCCCCCTCACTTATTCCAAATAGCTACCCTCTAACCCCAACGATTTGAGCTCCAATTTCTCCTTCCCAAGCAATCCATCTCTCTCCCACGTAGTATGACCTGTTGGGCAGGCTTCATGTTACCTCTTCTGTCTCTGTCGTATACCATTATTGCTCGCCCTGCCACCATAAACGCCCCCTGCCTGTCTCCCTGACGGCCCACGTAGAACACTGTGCGAAAGATATTCCTTGATTTAGGAGACATGGTAACCTACCGACTCAGTGTCAGATCGGGAGGATATTGCAACAGATATTTCAACACGCTCTGCTGTGAGTAAAGCTTGTAAAAATCATGGAAAAGTTTATGAGCTGACAGGGTGTTAGTCCATGAATAATATGTTTTTGAAACAGATGCTTTAGGTTGCATCTACCTTAAAGATGCCATCCAGTGGTGTATTTCTATTCAACAATGACATTAAATGGACAACAAAACATCATCACCATAAAAACATTATGAACATTTTGATTTATCAGTTCTCTTGGAAGAGCAACCAGACAATTCCTGTAGAAAAACAAGGAAACTATCAATGTTTATGCATCATGATGATGTAAAAAGTGGGAGTTCTTCATTCTCATGCATTTAATCAACAGATAAAGTATAAAATACTTTTTGTACTTTATCTACAGATAAACTATCAAGGGAAATTAAAGAACAACTGACAGATTCTGGCTTCTGTGCCTCCTTTTCTTCAACGACTAATAGAGTTTTACTATCAGAAATGCTCAGAGCTCACAAAAAATGGGATGCTATTGTATACTATTTTCTCAAGGCTTCATATTACATTGTATCTGCAGTGATTGGGATTCTGAACCCCTTCTATTCAGTCAAGGTTGCAGGGGAGTAAACTTCACATATCTCAGTCAGAGTTTGAATCAGATGGCATTGAAGCCTAAAGAAACTGTGAAAGTGGCAATGATTGGTGTCAAAACGTTGACTGTAACACATTCAGCTCTATTGTTAGTTTGTTTTTCAATTTGATTTTATTTCATCAAATTTTCAACACATCTGAATAAATACCATATTCTTCTACGCTTTAGCTACATGCCAAGCCAGTACAGTGGCACTGCTAGCAGTCTGAACTTAACTACTTTTATGTAAACAAAGTTTCTCTTTCTGACAGTTTTTTTTTCTCTCACTTCTTTCCCCTGGTGTTGACAGTAATGGCTGTGATTGTAAAGAGTGGTCAAACGCAGGGAAAAAAAATATTGGGGCTTGAAAATGAACTTTTCCAGATCTTCGGGGATTTCAACGATTTTGCTTGAAATTACTGCAGAACATTCTTGATAATGAAATCTGTTTTCATATTTGCAAACGGCTCCAATCTGTAACATTTTAAACTAAACCAAATTAAATGGGCAGATATAGGGATTGGTCGTTTTTTCTTGATCAGCCACCATAATTGTTTTAGGTGTTGTATCTTTGCTGTGGCCAAATTTTCCTAAAAATCATGTAGCATTGTTTTATGCAGCTAAAATAGTGTTCCAAAACATGTACAAAACAGTAGTAGAGGGGAACAGCAATGAAAACATACATAAAAAATGAAATAATTGTGCTGCTTTATGCCTTGTATGACGTAACAAGAGACAGATGTTTGGGAAAATATGTTTTTTTTAATCATTTTATCTTGACTGAAAATGTCTTAAACAGAGTACTAAGGTTTGTTGGTAACAAACTACATGCAAAGTGAGTTGGAGTGACGTTTCTTAAAAGCATGGATAATGACTTTAAATCCCTGCAGCTTTTATTAAACCCTTTCAATTAATTTCGCCTTATTTCCACTTAAAAGCAGGAAATGTTTAACAACGCTGCCTAAATACACCATGATGGTAATTCTGCAGCACATGCACGCCCAGATTGCAAAAGGGATTAAATGAGAACAGGTTGGGCCATGACCTACAGATAAACAACCCTATAATAATAACAGAGCAAGAAGGAAAGTGCAGTAAAGTGGGAGAGAGGGAGGAGAAACACTCCCAACTGACTGGCATTATCATGTCAACAGCAGTTGCTTCCATCGCAAAATTCATCAAAACAACCACAGGAGGCATGTTGCAATTATTCATGCATGAATCTAAACAATTATTCATGCATGAATCTAAACAA